TCGAGGCCTCTCAAAGTTCCAGGTCCATACTGTATCCCAGCCTAAGAAAAACAAAGACTTTTTTTCCAGTTGAGAGTCTTTAACACATCAAGCTCCTTCAGCTTGCTTCTTGACGGACTCCGTCACCAAGTGTGCCAGCGTGAACGTTGGGCTGATCCTTGCTTTTATTCTGCCCCACCCTGCTCCCAACAAGATGTTTCGAGAAAGGTCTCAGGCACTCGGGTCGCCGTGCACACTCGCACCTGTCCAGCTGTGCAGAGCTCAAATCCATCTTCACAGATTTTTCTAAAGAGGAGTTCAACCAGAGGGTAGCCCTCCCCAAAATTCAGTGTCCAAAATATGTGTGGATATTGTTGGAAAGGCAGCAAGAACACCACAGGGTTCTTTCTGTTGTTGTTGTTGTTGTTATGTGCCGTTGAGTCACTTGTGACTCACAGCGACCCCATGTACAACAGCCCTAAACTCTGCTCTGTCCTGTGCCAATCGCACACCCATCCTGATTACCCCACAAGAAATTCTATTTCTAAGTGGTATCAAGGTGTCCTTGGCTGAGAGGAGGATGAACCGAGTGAGGGCCCCTGACGGGTGGAGGTGAAGGTGAAGCTTTCTCCAATTCCCCAACGGGTAAGCCTTTGAGAAAAGGTGCTTGTTCAGATTCAATTACCTCACAAGGGCAGCACATGAAGTTACAGTTCCCCGAGACACCTGACTTCCCGTCTCAGATGAGCTCTTATTAACCAAGGAGAGGCAGGCGAATGAGACCCAGAGTCGGTAAACTTGTATTTTTTTTTCTTTTTATGAAAGTAAAATAAAAAAAAAAAAGTAAAATCCTAGCACCAGGAGTAGGACAATAAAGAAATAAAGAAAGAAACACAAAGTGGTGGGAGGGATGAGTCTCCCAGAAGAAGAAAGGCACTCAAATAAATTTAAAAAAGAATAATCACGTATAGTTCTTGCTGTTACTGGCCTTTTCAGTTGCAAATTTATGTTTCTGCTTTTGTTAAATGAAGTTGAGATAAGAACTAAAACAAAAGGGATTAACCGATTTGGTCTTTTAAGGTGTTAGTCAAATGCTCAATTTCAGAGAAACCAAGAGGGCTCGCCCTGGGCAGATGCCAGCCGTTCCTTGAAAGGACATCCAGCCCTAAGCGTCAGCACATTTTTCTGACACATGGAAAGGAGAGGAGGAAACCACTATGCTGGCAATCTGTGGAGGGCCAGCGCCATGCCAGGCGCACAGCTCGGACACTGGGCCTTCCTGTGACAGTCTGCACACTCTGCTCATTTCCCACTACCTGAACGCATACCCTCTCCACGAAGGCACCATCCTTGGTAACAGCTCCGCTGCACGCTAACCCACGCAGGTACCAGCATTCACGCAGTCAAGTCCCTACAACACATCATGTTGTGACGCTGAGTCAGAGCCGACTCACAGCTGAGCCTGCAACAGTTTTCAGAGACTTTAAATTGCATGAGAGAATGCCTAGGGGGTCTCTCATGGGCCAGCTGGGGGACTGGAACCTCGTGCCTTAGGGTTGGCAGCACAACTCCTTACCACTAGGCCACCAGAGCCTCCCTATGGGACGCTATTTTCAGCAGTATTTCCAGGGACATAGTTACCGTTTTTAAGGGTAAGTCTGCACTATTGAAATTGATGCCCGCCAGCACTGCAGCCCTGGGGTGAAACAGGGTAGGCTGTTAACGAAAAAGTCAGCAGTTTGAATCTACTATTCACTCTGTGGGAGAATGATGGGAAAATCTCTTCACTTAAATACTGACAGCCTTGAAGCAGAAGGAGGGTCTCCCTGAGCCCGACTCAACGGTAGGGGTTTGGTGCCGAACCAGCAACTGCCTGTTGGCCTCCACCCTCATCATCATCTACCATTAAGGCTCTTTCTGATCACCACTAATTTGTGCACATGTGTGTTCCAATAAAACTTTATTTGCAAACAAAGAACATAAATTGGAAAACAGCCCTTTGACCACTTCTAACGGTGATCTTTGGATCACGGTAATCTTTAAAGTGAGGCTCACCATTATTTTACATTTATTTGCTAACTATGCCCCAGATGAAACCCACCGCCACGGAGTTAATTCCAGTTCTCACCACCCTCTCCTGTGTTTCCGAGACTGTCAATCCTGACAGGAGGAGAGGGCCCATTGTTCTCCTCCAGAGGGACTGGTAGACTTGAACTACTGACCTTCTGGTTAACAGCCTGATAGATTTTGTTATGCAGCCAATGTTCCTCATTTGCTATCTAGTGACTCTGATATGGTTTATGTTGGTCATTTATTTGGGCAAGTTACTATCCTCTCTGCATCTCAGTATATCTATCTGTAAAATGGGAACAGTTGCATTTCTTACTTATGAACGTGAGCGATCAGGTCACGCTGTGCAAATCTAAGCTATGTGAGAGGCGCAGGGCTATGACAGGTCACCTCTGCCCTGTACCGTGACCACTAGGCTGAGCGTCTGCTGAGTCACTGGTCACAATGTCCCCAGTGGTGTCAAGAGTGCTCGAAACCCATTGTCATGGGGAGGGAAAAGCCACAAGGTCTTCCAGAACAGATACGGCCAGAGCACCGTTCCCCCCACCCCCTCCACGGGACCCTCCTCTCTCTCCTGACAGAGACTGTATTGTGAGGAGGGGTGCCATTCCCCACTTCATGCCCTCCCCCTCAAAATGCCCTTGGGAGCTTGGTGGGGGACAAAGTGCTCGTTCTCAGTCGTCCCCATTGGGTCTCCCTGCTGACCCTTCACTCGAGCGCATCCCCCAGCTCCCATGGGCACCCATGTTCCCGAGACAATTGACATGCCAGAGCACCTCCAGAGGCTTGCTGGCCAGCACTGGCCTCTGTCCTTGATCTTAAATTGCAGCTACCTTTGCTCACCAACCACAGACCACACCCCTACTCGGGTAGCTTGGCCTGCCCTCCATTCTGTCCACTCAGAAGGGGCCACTGAGAAAGAGGAAGGGGCTCCATGGGTGTCAGTGAGCTGACACTGGGGTCCTGTTAGCTGCTCCTCAGCACAGGTCAGCCCATTCCTGTTGTTCCTTGGAGCTGGCAACTGGGGTCGGATTCAGGAGTCAGGGCTTCCTCCTGGGCCCCGAGGGTGACCTAACTTCAGGACAGTGGCTACTACTGGCCTACTGTCCTCCGTTTCCTGGAGCACCAGGGCCTGCCGTGCAGCTTCCTGTCCCTGCTAGCCCTCTGGAGACCCTGGTGGCTCAGAGACCCACGCCTCCCTCCCTCCTGCGCCGTGCAATGCTATCCAATAAGAGGTTCTTCCGTGTGCAGCTGGGGTCCACTCACCAGGGACCCTGTTAGGGACCTCGGCATTTGTTATTGCCAGACATGCAACATTAATGCATAAAATTAAAACATTCTCACAGCTGACACTCCAGCAAGCTCTCTGAGGCTGTAAATGGTAAGGGGGGAGGTTCAAATCCCCAGAGAGAGGCAGTCTCAGGATGGGGAGCACAGCTCCACGCGGGCTGCACCCCCAGGACGCCCTCATGCACAAAAGAGCGGACAGATGTGCTGTGACTCTTGTCATCGATACAAAATATGCTGGATGACAAAACAATCAGTAAGTAAGGAGCAAATACACGAACTTAGCCTTTATTTCATCAAATTTTTTGGAGGCTTAAGTGAGTTAAAAGCATGTAAAACGCTTGGAGCAATAGGTATAACATATAAACATTCAAAACAATGCTATCTGCTGTAATGATTTATACTTTTTAACTTCTTTCTGATATGGGAAAGAACTCTCCCTTTGAGAACAATTGAGTTCACCCTGGTGGCTGCATTTTATGAATAGTACAGATGAAATAATTATCACTGAGGAACAAAAAACCCACTGTGTGTGCCCATGTGTAAATCTACAAAAGGCCCTTCCTCTCTGAATTTAGTTAACATTACTGCTACAAGACCAAAACAATTTTTCTGTATCAAGATTAAAAAAGCAAAGTTTAATTTTAAAATTAATTGCAGGGCCTTGGTTTTGTTTACTTGGTTTTTAATAAAAATTCTGATTCTCCCATTCTAATTTTAAACTTTTTATTATTTTTTTGTGTGTACTGTCAAATCAGATCTGAGTGGTACAGGAGGAGACTGCCCCTCATTCTCCAGCAGAGCATCTGGTAGATTTGAACTGCGCATCTCTGGGATTGCAGTGCAGTTTCTTGCCACTAGGCCACCAGAGCTCCCTAATTTTTAACTTTAAAAAAAATTTCCAAATTCTAGTTTGGTTAAGTAGGTCACCAAAAAAAAATCCATCCAAGTTAGTGCTGTCAGGTGACCTCCTCGTGATTCCCAGTGACCCCTCGTCAAGCATCCAAGGCTGTAAATTTTTATGTGAGGAGACAAGCCATTTTTCTCCCCTGGGACGGCTGGTGGATTAGAACCTCTGACCTTTGGTTAACAGTGCAAGGTGAAGCATACTACACTGTTTATGGGCCTTACATAAATCCTAATACATGTAAGTATATAGACTTTCATGCACCAAATGAAAGTGGTGATGTACTTTATCTCTACATAAACCATGGGACAATCAGGATAAACTAGTAGGTGACAAAATATATTATGACTTCACTTCAGCTTGAAAGTATTTTCTTGATTAATATATATCACGATGTCAAAAGCAGTTGGTACCGGGTGGTAGGATTCAGGAAATTTAAACGTTCTTTAAAAAAATAAATAAATTTCCTAAAGTTTCTACAAAGCACATTCTATTTTCTGAAACAAGAAGCTGTAATTGTACAGGTGGGATTCCAGTGGGGCACAGCCTCCTGGACAGAGCAGAAACGTGTGGAAGGACAGACCTTGGAGGAGAATGTCCTAACAGGAACATTCTTCCTGGGACCGAGGGGCAGCATCTCACGAGAGCTCCTTGTGTCTCGAACGCACAGTTTGTCTTCTCATTTCTCCAAGATACAGGCAAGACACTGAGTTCACTTCCTTCTCCTCTGCGTATGGCATTCCAGGGCTTTCAAAACATGGCGGCGCTGGGCTCCCCGGCGCGCACGTTTCGAGGGCTCCTGCGGGAGCTGCGCCACCTGAGCGCCGCCACGGGCCGACCGTACCGCGACACCCCGGCTTATCGGTACCTGGTGAAGGCTTTCCGTGCACACCGGGTCACCGGGGAGAAGCTGTGCAGGGCCCAGCAGGAACTTCATTTCCAGGCTGCCACCTACCTCTGCCTGCTTCGCAGCGTCCGGGAGCACGTGG